GTGGAACTTCTGAAAGGAACAGAAGGCAATAAACACAATGATTCGGGGTCTCTGCCCAACATCACTGGTTGAATTGCGCAAGAATTTTGGAAGGATTTACTGGATGGTCAATTCCAAATCAAGATTTTTCTTGAAACTAAAGGAATGCTTGCCCAGAACCTAATAAAGACAAAATGAAAAACAACGCCAGTGTGACTTGTTTTTCTCACCAACATGACAATATATATGAATGAGTTGACCCTGAAAATCGAAGGAAAGAAGAACTTCCTTTTGGCCTGGCTGGAGAGTTATTAGAATTTACACTGAAATTGAAATTTCAGCCAGGCGGGTGGTGCACGCCTGTGATCCCAGCAGCTCAGGAGGCTGAGGCAGGAGGATCGCAAGTTCAAGGCCAGCCTCAGCAATTTAGCAACGCCCTAAGCAACTTAGTGAGACCCTGTCTCTGGATGAAAAAATTTAAAAGGCTGGGGTTGTGGCTCAGTGGTTAAGCGCCCCCTGAGTTTAATCCCTGATACACAAAAAAAAGAAATGAAGGAAATTGAAACTTTCCGTGATCCAAATCAATGACAATGAGCTCACCCACTTTCTGACATGAATTGATATGGCAAATATTTTTAACTGTGATCCCAGCATCATGCAAATCATATGCAGGGTTTACCAGAGAAATTTGAAGAATATATTACTGATACTGATAAACTTAGAGTTGCTTTTCAATTTATATAATATCCCTTTACCTGCCACATTAATAATATTAAATTGACATAATTTAGACAGAAGCAGTTTTAAAATTGATATACTTTTGCTTCAAAGTGAAATAATTCTTCCAATAAAGATGAGCTGGTTTGCGGCTGGGTGCGGTGGCACACGTCTATAATCCCAGCAGCTCAGGAGGCTGAGGCAGAAGGATCACAAGTTCAAAGCCAGCCTCAGCAATTTACTGAGGCGCTAAGCAACTCAGTGAGACCCTGTCTCTAATAAAATACAAAATAGGGCTGGGATGTGGCTCAGTGGTCGAGCGCCCCTGAGTTCAATTCCTGATACCTCCCCTTCTTGGCTGGGTACAGAATCGCGAGCCACCACACACCTTGTAGATTCAAACAGCAATTCTTTATTCCCGAACTCACACGGGCCTCTACACACGTTCAGGGGAAATCTCAGTTCTCCCGCTGCCCAATCCACCTACTCCATGAGGCTTTTTTCCAAAATACTTTTTGAATCTCAGGAGAACTCAACTCAAGCAGCAGGAACGCCCTATTCCCAGCAGCAATAAACTTAAACCTGGAACTTCCCTAAAACCCATATAGTCTTAAACCAAGAACGCCTTAAGCCCAAGGACGGGATACTCCCTAAAACCTGATCAGCTCTAAACCCGGATCCGCCCTGGTCCTTGAGCAAGGTCACCTTACTAAAGCATACATGCAGTGTCCCAGCGAATGTCCTCTAAGCAACATGGGGTACGCTGGCAAGGAAATTTCGATGCGTCAATCCTACTTGGCAATGGCCCTCAGCATCTCCCCCCTTCTGATTAATTAAACAACAAGCAATGTGGCTTAAGGACGGTGCCTGGTAGGTTGTCCAATTCAACATATGGTTCTTACCCGTCATGGGAAAACTGACCTTTAGGCGTCAGCCTCCTGTCTTAGGTTGATACCACTGCAATCGGATCCTACCCGTCCCTGACTACCCGTGCAGCATTCAGCCATGCTTGTGGATAGGCCTATGCACCAGTGGGGGGGTGAGGTTCTTGCCTCACCTCTGTTGGCCCCCAAATTTAGCCTTGGTGCCAGTGGGGGGGTGAGGTTCTTGCCTCACCTCTGTTGGCCCCCAAATTTTAGACCATCACTAGTAGAAGGGAGGAGGATACAGAAATGCCACGACACCAAGCCAATTGACAGTTCCTTTGGAAAAATTCCATCACTGGTGACACCATCAGCAAAGATATGCCAGCGTGACCACAATTAACATGGGGTGCGCTGGCAAGGAAATTTCGATGCGTCAGTCCTACTTGGCAATGGCCCTCAGCACTCCCCCTCCAAAAAAAAAAAAATGAAGATGAGCTAGTTTTGGTACTATGGAAATGAATATTAAAGAAAAAATGATTTTAGGGGACTAATTGGAAAATGTTTAAATGTCTAAGACAACTTGGGTATGATTCTGCTTTGGGGGCTATAAATATAAATATGATCAAATATCTCCAATACAATTTTAGTTCATTGAGCTATGCTATGTTTTAAAAAAATATATCCTGGCTAGGCATGACGGCCCAGGCCTGTGATCCCAGTGACTCAGGAGGCTGAGGATCACAAGTTCAAGGGCAGCCTTGGTAACTTGACAAGAGTCTGTCTTGAAATAAAAATAGAAAGGGCTGGGGATGTAGCTCAGTGGTAGAGCGCCCTGGGGTTCAGTCTGGGGGTGTCACAAAATATAAATAAAAAAGAGGTCTGGGGTTGTAGCTTAGTGGTAGAGCACTTGCCTGGCGTGAGTGAGGCACTGGGTTCGATTCTCAGCACTGCATATGAATGAATAAAATAAAGGTGTTGTGTCCATCTACAACTAAAAATATATTTTTAAAAAAAATTGAGCAATTTTGTAAGTGTACACACACACACACACACACACACACACACAAAATCACCCTGGATGTCAAAGCTTTACTTTAGCAACAACAACAAAAGAACATACCACCTTGATCATTTTTATATTGATGACATATTGGCATGATGGTATTTTTAGAAAGAGTGGGTTAAATTAAATATAATTCTGAAATTATTTTGACCTTCTTCCTACTTTTTTTTTCCTAATGAAACATGAAAAGTTAGAACACGTAAAAATTACCTCTATGGGGCTGGGATGTAGCTTAGTGGTAGAGGGTTTGTCTAGCAAGCATGAGGCCCTGGGTTCCATCCCTGGCCCAACCAACCAATCAGTCAATCACAGGTGGCTTCTGTTTTTACGCCATTCCATGGTCGAGGTCTAGAATCACCTCCCTTTCTCCTTAGCACCTCGGGGAGAATTCTCCATTGAACTCTGGAAAGAGGATCATAAGAAGCAACGGGCTCCATCCTCAGCTCCCTTCATGAAAACCAAAGGAGTTGGCCAGACCCAAGGAGCTGGCTGTGAACTTGAGCAACTCAGCCGCTGTGACTCCTGAAAACTTTGAATCTGGAGTCAGCAAAGACAGAATTAGGCAGAAGCCCAATTCAACATCAGTGTCAGGTGCATGGACCAGGCTTTGAAAGACCCCCGCCCCCCCACAACTACTAATGGGAGTGGGGTAGCATAGGGAGCCCAGAACCGGTGACCGCCCATCACAGAGACGTGGCTGGAGGTCGGTGCGGGGAGAAGATGGGGACACTCCCCGGGTCTGATGGGCTGGGTGAGCCTCCCAGCAGAAGAATAAGTGACCACATTGGCACTTTAGAAGGCGGAAGGAGAAGAAGAACAGAGAGAAAGAGCTGGAATACGAGGTTGGAACTTAGAATGAGTGGCGGGTAGGAGAAGGGAAGCACCGTCAAGCAGAAGATTCAGACCGAGGTTAGGACTCGCTCCCCTGGGACTCAGAGTGCCAGGTTGGACTAAAGGTGCCAGGCTTACAACTGGGCTCCTGTGGCCAAGGGCATGCCTTGTGCCCAGTTCTAAGGTCACGTCCCTTCTTCCCCTCTGGGCCGGACTCCCTGTCTCAGTGCCGTGTCTGGGATGGAGCTTACTCCTCCCAGAGGCTAGAGATGCTGGTCCAACACCCGCTCAGCGATGACCACAGCCCTGCCCACTGACTGTCACCATGTTGGAGCAAAACGGCTCTATGATCTTCGGAGCCCCTCTGGACCTTCCGTTCTGTCTGCAGACCCGAACCTTCCCCCCGGTGCCTCCTTTACTGTGGCCTAGGTGGGCCCCGCTGTCTGCTCTGTTAGCAGACACAGGATCACAGACAGCAATTCGAGTAGATCCTCTGGGGGGAGCATCCTGTTTTCTCAGCTCTCCCCACCCGAAAAAAAAAAAATCATCCCCCCCACCAAGGTACACAGTCAAACTCAGCCTATCAATATATATTCCAGCTTTTGCTTGGATGAATGCTATTTCGATTCAGTCATTTTCTCCTTCACTTTCTCTCCCATTGATTTTTTTTTTTTCCCCAAGAGTCTACCTTCTCGGATTACCTTCTCCTGATTGAATTCTAGGGGGATTATGTGTTGAGTGCACTTGGTGTATTTCAAATGTCCAGAACTGGACCTGGCACACAGTAGATGCTCAAGAATCAACCATTTTGAAGGAACAGAAAAGTCAACATCTCAGGCGCTTTGGAGACTCAGCCCACACCATCAATGATTAGTACCTGTGTTTGCATAGAACACAGAGGTTACCTATGGGAGCTGAGCTAGTTTTTATTTTACCAATACCGAGCTGAAAAAAATCCCTTAATATACACAACAAAGTGGCTACATGCAATGGCCCGGACTCTTTTCCTTTCTATCTGGGTGGATTTTATTTTCAGTCTATGTTTTGCATTACCACCACTGACCAGTGTTAACAGCCACCGGCTCGGGTGACGTTAAGCTCTCTCGCAGATCCCACCCACCAGAGCTCCCTCTTTAATCCCCTCCTGCATTTGTACACAAGTCTTTTTTCCGTGATGCCCCCAAACCTGCCCCTGCATCCTCTCCAAGTGGCCGCTGATTTTCCCAGTGCCGTGAATTACACTGGACAGAGTCCCGCAGCCGAGTGGCCCGCAGAGGACCCACCATCATGCAAGCCATTTGGACGTGGACGTGATACTGCCAGAAGGATCAGCCACCTTCAGAGGATGGCAGGTACACTGGCCCCTGCCGTGAGATCCTGAGGTCCGAGTTTCGGAACCTTCCCCTCTTTCTCCTGCCCAGCTTTGATTTCAACCCCCTTTAACTCAGAGTTCGGGACGGTTGTTTCCTCTGTTCCCTTAGTTGGAACAGGAGGCAGCCCTGGGCTGAGTGGACGGACCCGTGGCCCCAGGTGAGTCATACTACCTGTTCCATTCCTCGGGCAGCAGTGTGTCTTGAGAGCCAGGGCACCTGGCTTCTAGGCCTGGCTCTGCCACGAGGTGCATGACTTTAGGCAAATCACATCACCTCTCTGGGCCTCAGTGGTCACACCTGAGAAATGAAGGGGTTGCATTCGATTAGTGAATCTCCACTGTTTACTTTTGTCCCCTCCCAAACACAACCAGCAGGGTATACCGACCTACAAGAGGCACGTCCCTGGGCAGCTCCTAGGTGCACCCTCGAATTGCATCCCTTTCTTTCCCACTCAAGAATGCCTATGAGCCTGTAATCCCAGCAGCTAAGGAGGCTGAGGCAGGAGGATCGCCAGTCAAAGGCCAGCCTCAACAACTTAGGGAGGCCCTAACTAAGCAACTTATCGAGACCCTGTCTCTAAATAAAATACCAAAAAAAAGGCTGGAGGGTGTGCTTCGGGGGTTAAGTGCCTCTGAGTTCAATCCTTGATACCAAAAAAGAAAAATGCCTATCAGAATGAAATGAACTGGAAGGATAAAGAGAACGTGCGTGATTTTATTCATATTTTTAAAATCATCTTGGGGCTGGGGTTGTCGTGCTCAGTGGTAGACCACTTTCCTAGCACGTGCGAGGCCCTGTACTGCAAAACAAACAAAAACTCCTTTAAGCTTGGTGTTTTGACCGCAAGTGAATTACACTTCCTGAAGATTTAATTATGCACTTTCAGAATAAAAAAGAGAGAGCAAGAAAGAAAAGCACATCACTTGAGTGGCATGCAATGCGCGTGTGAGGTGGGGAGTGAATATCTGAAGCTCCTCCATTGGTTCTGGTTCTTGCAAAAACACGTTCGAGGTGGGGTTCTCATTAGGTGCAGGTTTGCACTAGTATTTAAAGACAAATCTTGCACACAAGGTCCCTGAATACAAACCAATGACATCAGCTCCTGATCAAATAAAGGAACTTCAATCCATACCTACGTTGGGGGGGAACCTGAGAGGTGGCTTCTCCAGCCGGGCCTTTGCCTCGGGAGTTCATGTGGGTAACCCTGGCTCGGTGCAGGATTCGCCTTTCCCTGGCTTATGCATCCCGGTGCAAGGTGGGGCTCTGCAGGTCTATTTACCCTCCACAACTGCCCCTTTTATGAACTGAGGTTGCAAAGCTGCAGAATGCGGTGATGGCTAAGGCCCTTTGCACCGCCCAGGGCACTGGCTTATGCCTGCGGTCCCTCTTCACCTAACTAGTGCTCTTTTCTTCTCTCTTGCCTAAGAAGAATGCCACTCTGCTCTCTTAACAACTGTTCTTTCCACGATCGAGATCTGTCTTTTCATTGTAAACCCTTTGAAGAAAGGACCCCTCTTGACCATGTTCATTCTTCCCCTAGAACTTGGATTCGGCTTCTCCCACCCAACTCTCATTCTTCCCGTCACCTGTGCCTGCAAGGTCTATCTGATAGCCTGCAAGCTGCCTGAGGGCAAAGACTGGGTCAGCCTTATTCACTACCATCAAACACAAAGACCACGACAGGTACAATAGGAAATTGATAATCAGGTGGTGAATAAATGAACGACTAGAAGATGGAATGCAGAAATCCATGAATGAAACTAGTCTTGTCTACTGATTCCCTCCCTGAGCACGTAAACACACGTTCGTGTTTGATAAATGCTCACACAAACACGCACGCGCGCGCGCGCACACACACACACACACACACACAATCGTCAACCCCTTGCACAATCTCTCCTGATTTTAGAAGTCAAGAGAACTTAAAATCTCTGTCGGCATTCAGTCTTCTTCAACTCTCATTTCTTCCCCAAACCTCGTGAGCTGACCTCTGTTGCCTCCATCCATGGACAATGTTCCCAATAACTGCACCAAGACCGGACACGCCACCAGATTCAATAAAGTTTCTGTCCCCATTTTATTTGGTGCCCTGATTCTAAGTTGTAAAAGTATTTGGATGGCTCCTGGGTTTATTATTCTTACAGAAGCAGAGGGGAGACAGATGGCTTTGTTATGGTTGTTGTTGTTTTAGTTATACATGACACTAGAGTGTATTGGGGCAGAACAGACATACATAAAGTATAACTTGTTCTATTAGGTTCCCACTCCAATGGTCGTAAATGATGTGGAGTTACCTGGTCATGCATATAAATCCAAGGCTAGGAAGGTTATGACCAATTCATTCTCTTTCCTATTCCACCCCGAGACAGATGACTTCTTAATTGTTCTTTCAGTTGTAGATGGATACAATATCTATTTATTCCTTTATTTTTACGTGGTGCTGAGGATCGAACCCAGTGCCTCACACATGTGAGGCAAGTGCTCTACCGCTGAGCCACAACCGCAGCCTGACAGATTGACTTTTAAAATAGGGGAATTAGAGCATAAATAGGTATTGGGTTCTGTTTTCCCAAGATGATGAGTTCCAGGGACACTAAATACAATTCCATTTAGAGATTATAAAGATTCGTTTATTTAACCACTCACTTATTCATTCAAACACACACATACCAAACCCCTTTAATGTAGCAGGCATTGAGCTAGGTGTTGAGGATGCACAGGTAAATAAGTCCAGGTAACAGGTCGCAGGGAGTATCCCATCTATCAATAAGGCAGTTAATTTTGAAATTAAAAAATCTTTGAATTAAAAAAAATACTGATGTGCAGCCAGGTGAGGTGGTCTGTACCTGTCATCCCAGCAGCTCGGGAGGCTGAGGCAGGAGGATCGCAAGTTCAAAGCCAGCCTCAGCAAAAGCGAGGCACTCAGCAACTCGGTGAGACCCTGTCTCTAAATAAAGTACAAAATAGGGCTGGGATGGGGCTCAGTGGTCGAGGGCCCCTGAGTTCAATTCCCAGTACCCACCCCCTACAAAATGTGCAATGCTCATATAGAAAATGCACATATTATAAGTGCTCAGTTTGCTGAATTTTCACAAACTGAACACACACACCGATGTGGATAGTGCCTGGATGAAAAGTCACCGTGACCAGCACCCCAGAATCCCTGCTGGTCTCCTCCTAGACACAGCTCCTCTCCATAGGAAGTGCTCTCTGGTTTTCACAGCAGAGATGAATTTCGCCTGCTCTTGTGCTGCATATTGGAAGCCTGCAGAATGTTCTCTATGTGCTTCTGTTCTTTTGCTCAGCATATTGGTGAGGTTCACTGATGTGGGGGTACGTGGATGTGGGCCATTCATTCTCATTGATGTTGAATTCTCCTTTAGCCACACCCCCTGCCTGCCCACATGGGAACTTCCTTGGCACAGTAATAATGATCTCCTCTTCAGTAATATTTCTGCTCCTTCCTCCTTGCTTTCCTGCATAACTCTTATGACCAACTTATATTTTATGACTTTTGTTTATTTGTGTTATTATTTGTCCCATGCCTAGAACTTAAGTTCTATAGAATCCTGAGAAGTGCTCAATAAATACTCTTGGAACAAGGAACCTCAGTTACTTCCACCGGGTATCCAGCAGGCCCAGGGCTGGAGGGTGGGTCATGCTGCCCAGAGAGAGCAGATGGATCAAGAACTACAGCACCGTGTCACTGAGCAGGAGAGCCCAACCTGATGTGGGGTCAGAGGTCTCCTTCTGTGACATCTCTACCACGAATATCAATGTGAAAACCTCACATCAAATGCTTGCAAATGCATTTTTAAAGTCGATGAATATCAAAAGGAAAAGAATCAGAAATGTCTATTAACAGGGAATAGGCCTATTGTTATTAATTACTATTATTATTATTATTATATTATTATTATTGTTGGAATTTGAAGTGGATTTTCTGGCTTTTGCATCTTTTGGATGTTTCCAGTCGTTCAAATTTTTAATCATAAGCATCTTGATTAAATTCTTAGAAATGAAAGATTAACATGCCACTATTAAGTAAAGAATGTCGTGGTGCTTCAAAAATGGTTTAATAGTAATGAACTAGTGCTAAAAATATCCCGGAGCCCTAGGACATTTTATTTTATTAAAATCGCAGATTGAACATTCATGACCTGAGAGTAGAAACAAATGTTCCTTGAATGAATGAATTGAAATACATTAATATGCAACGCCATCCCAATGGGTCAGATAAGAAAAAAAAATGCCGTCCCTTTACTAATAAGTGCTGAAAAGGCAATAAAAAGCAATCTAGCATCCATTCTCGATGAAAATTCTTGGCAAGCAGGAAAGAAGAAGGCTTCTATCATCCGCCTGTCTGCAAACCTCTGCAATCTGGCTCCTGCTGGCATCATGCCACCAACACTACCTTCCCCAAGGCTACCAGTGTCCTACATATCACCAAACGCAGTGCACTTGGAGGGGTACCAATAAATATGCAACGAATTAAGAAATGGATGATAAAAGAATCTTGGATCAACACGTTGAACAATAAAACATCAGCATCGTCTCTTTAAAGTCAGAAATAAAACCAGGGTGTGATCTGCCACTGTCCTTAGATGGGGGTTTTTGGAAGCTCAAATAAAAAAGAAAACGAAACAAAGAAACCATAGAAACACAAAGATAGAGATAGCTATTGGCAATAAAAAGAGACAAGCATGATCGGTCCTTGCATAACACCTGGGAGAATCATCCCCAAACTACTACCAGAAAGAGAGAGAGTTCTGGAAGTTCACAAAATAAATACACAAAGAGTTAATCGTTTCCCCCAAATACCAGCAAATGTCACGATTAGGGAATGATGGGTCATGAGACAATTGAGAAAGTGACATCTTCAGAAGGCGTAGAATCTCACAGATGAGAAGTCAGACGGGGACAGAATTCCAGTATTACAAATTAGGAGAGAAAAAACTATAGGGAGATTTCTGTTTTTTGTTTTTTGGGTTTTTTTTCCCAACTAACTGGGAAGTGTAACTGACACTTGGCTGTGAAATTTACATTCAATTCTAGTGAATGACACACTTGCTATCTTCCCTGGGGGGCTGGGGGGTGGGGATCAGGTGCTGCTGAACTATTATTAGGAGGCATCAAAATGACCCAGGGAGGGGGCTGATTCTGCCCCACCCTGGAAAGCCCATTCCAGTTCCCTCCTTGTATGGTGTGGTCTCCAAAGGAAGTTCCTGAATTTGTAACCCTATCTCGCCTGAGATTATAATTACCTGTGCTTAGTAAGGAACTGACTTTACAAACTC